ATTTCCAGGGGGTTCCTGGGAAAACCAGGAACCGTTTTTACCGTGCAGACCTCGATCAAAAACGATTCTCAGTGGGTATCCGCACGGCAAAAACGGTTCCTGGTTTTCGCAGGAATTCCCTTGAAATCACCCAGGCGTGGATTGGGGGGGGGGGGGCTCGAGTGAGAGCACTGAGGCAAATTAACCACAGGAAACCAAAGTCAGCATGTGGGGGACAAACCGTGTCTCACACTTGCAAGCGTAAGGCAAACGTTGGCCACGCTTGTAAGCGTAAGACATAGTGGTTCACACTCAATAGTATGAGACAGTCTCACTCTTTGATTTCCGGTGTATGTCTTTACATTGGGCGAACTGGGAAAACCAGGAGCCATTTTTGCCGTGCTCCTGGGAACAAAGTCACTCTAGCGGCAGAGAAAGATAAAAACGGTTTTTGGTTTTCCGAGGTAGCCTAGAGTAAATACATAGGTAATTCTCAATGCACCGGTTTGGCCGTCGTGGTGTCGAGCGTGGGGGTCGCATTGAGGAAACCACGCAGGCAACCACCGCACATTTTTTCAGCGCAACCGTCATCCAAATTTTAATGACTACCGCGATGGTGAGACATGGTGCAACGCGGTGTTCCGCTTCTTGTCCGATTCTGTCAATGACTTCAGCACCGTTAGTGACTTGTTACTGGACGGGCTTCGGCACAACGCGAACCTCCGCTATGAAGCAGGCTTCGGGTGTTGAGCCGCGGTAACCCGACTCCAGCCGAAAGCGGTAATGTCCGTAGACCATGGTGGGAACGCTGGGGAACACATACTCAACGGGCTTATCGTTCACCTCGTAATAGGCCTGCGAAAAAAAATGTTCAAAGAGAGAACCGACCAGACGGCGAAAACGACAGATTTATTTTGTGCGCAACAAGGCGCGGATTCAGGACCGCGTTGAGAGGGGGGGGGGTCGCAAAAAATGCCCCCGCCCCCCATCTCGCGCCTGTCCCCAACTGAACTTCGAAACGTGGTCGGCAGAGGGAACAACGAGAAGAATCAGAAAACCACACGCGTAAAACCTCAGGATGTGTTTTGGGAAAGTGTTAAGTACAAACTATTTAGAATTTTTTTTGACAGCTTGTGCATGCTTATTATAGCTTACACAGTGAATTGAAATGGCAGAATCTGTAGTGGTCTGAGAGCCCCGAATCGCAGAAACCGACAGGTAAATAGATCCGGGGCAGTTTAGCACCAAAACCGCCAACGGCAAACCCATTCTGCACTCAGGCGACGGAATCCGTGCACTCGCCACGTGCACACGCCCGGACAAGACTGCACCGTAATCGTCACTTGCGATTCGCTCCACCTCGCGACTTTGAGATGTAATATTATTGGAAATGAAGAGTGTAGATGTACCGCATAAGGAAAATATTACTTTATAGACTTGTCAAAGCAAGAAAAAGTATGCACACTCATCAAAATATGTAAATAGTGTCCAAAACAACAAAAGCATCCAGAGACACAGTGAGGTTAGGTTGGCCAGCGAGACCGTAACCCTTTAGCAGTTTCTGTGGTTTCTGGAGAGGCCTTGTCAGTTTCTGTGGGCCCATGTTAGTTTCTGTGACCACCAAATTCGGAATCATTTACTGGCGGTTTCTGTGCCGAACCGTTACGAATTCTGCTATTTCAATTTACTGCGTGTATGAATGCTCATTATAATCTGTTATAACAAGCTGCTTCTGTTTGTATAGCCGAAAATAGTTTGTATCGTTTTATGAGTGCCGAGGCCGGGCGTGAAGGGAGTACAAAGAAAGCCCGGTTTTTTGAAGAAGAAATGTTTACAATTGTGTTCCTTTTCTTATCACCTTACCGCTGGTATGAGGCACGGTGTCCTTGGCTTATAGTTAAAAACTTGGCGGACAAAATCTGGGATGTTCTTGACGAGCACTGAGCAGCCGTGGTCCGGAAACTTGAAGACAAACGCGTTTTGCTTCCACATGTTGTTGCTCCAAAGGTCCATTGTAACATGCACCTTACACGAGAAGAAATATACAATGACAGTGAGCTTTAGAGAATAAAAGTTGGGTGAGGTTGACCACAGTTTAAGAGATGCAAAAATGCTAGTGTTTCACACAGGGACACGCGTGTTAGGCTGATTAACATCTGGATCCTAAGAACTGTCAAATGCCCTTTGCTCGGAACGAATGAATCTTGATGTATTCAATTATTAACAAATTCTGATGTCCTTGGAAAGCGATTTTCTGTCTCCTTTGGGTTATTGGCTGCCTTTAAATTTTCTTTCCCTGAGACTTCATTTAAGGTCAGCACATTGGCCACTAAATACTAAACAAAAATTTACCCGATCTTTCCGGGAAAAAAATAAGTTTCTTCTCTTGGAATTCTGTGAGTAGTCGGAGCCATACGAGCACTTTCTATAATGATATTTAATCCCTGTGTAAGAAACGTGGACATAGTGTTTCAGGGACATGGTGATTCGCAGTTTTGGAGTGAAGACAGTTCATGAAAAGTTCTAACCACCTCTGCACTGCAGTAAGGATAGATCTTAATCCGCACTGACACATACGATTGACTTGGATCAGCACTGGCAATTAGGATTATTCTCTCAAGACGCGTCGATTTCAATATCAACGCTCAGACAATATGCTCTTACGAATTGGTGCATTCAAAATGTCGAAGGGCAATTTATGTTTCCAACTGGAAATAAGTTTGTGCATTTGTTACTGGCTGGTAGCAAGAAACGTGGACATAGTGTTTCAGGGACATGGTGATTCGCAGTTTTGGAGTGAAGACAGTTCATGAAAAGTTCTAACCACCTCTGCACTGCAGTTAGGATAGATCTTAATCCGCACTGACACATACGATTGACTAGGATCAGCACTGGCAATTAGGATTATTCTCTCGAGACGCGTCGATTTCAATATCAACGCTCAGACAATATGCTCTTACGAATTGGTGCATTCAAAATGTCGAAGGGCAATTTATGTTTCCAACTGGAAATAAGTTTGGTGCATTTGTTACTGGCTGGTAGCAATGATCTCTCAGTTTGGTGATGCACGAAAATGGTGAATTGCTCCTAACAAAACTTGTTCAAAGATATTGAGTGTGAAGGCGTTCAGAGTTTAAGGGAAAGCAATGGCCTGATGGATATCGAACTTCGTTCAACCTCGGGTAAGAGCATCGGGCTTAGTCAACTCATCGCAATTGAAATTAAACTTTGTCAATATGAAACAATAAACATCGAGACTGAATAGACCTTTAGGTGACAAAAACAATATGCATTAGAATATTTGTTGCAGTTATGATCACCTACAAAAGTTTGATCCGTCATTGGGGTTGTGGCGTTGACCCATCCAGTTAAACGTTGCAGGTCCAGTGGCCGTGCGGGGTTAAAGTGAGTTGATTTTAAACTCCATGTCCAATGATAATTCTCATTGCACGTAAAGTATTTTTCGGTGTAAGCAATCCAAGGTCCCTACAAAGAAATTTAAAAAAAAACAAAAAAAAAACGAGCATGCAGAAAATTAATAAGACACTTATCAATGTCACCAGATATTAAAGAAGGCAAAACCGTGCTTTACATTGTCACACTGTGATCACAAACGTTCCATGGTGTGAGCGCTGAGAATGAGAGTCACCACTTGGTTTCAAGGAGACGTCCCCCCTCAACCCAACCGTGAAGTCAAAAGCCCGGGACCAAGTAGGTTCCTGGCGAGATCCCCTCTGACCTCAAAAAAATCGCTACTCCCCTCGCCGCATCTCTGAAAGTACTGTACGTAGAACAGAACGGACTCCTACTTTGGGCACAGTGAGACCCGGAGAGCTTAAACGTCACACGGAGGACATCGTGGTTGCCCCGGGGACCTACCGAAGTGGCCAAATTTCAGCGACGTACCGCCTGTCACTGCATTTCGGGTCACGAATTTTCCGTCTCTCGAAATTAAGCAACAAAGTTGCATCACCCAGTTAAAGGGTCATGTTGGTGACTCATTCAATCTCATTGCAGGTTTTAGCTGAGAAGATGAGTGGCAAAAAGCACTCGAACACAAATTTAAGACAACTACCCCATTTCCAAAACAAGAAAACATTCAGAAGCTACGGAAAGATTAGGCAGATCGGCAGAACACGAAGAGGTCTTTATCTCCAGAAGCACTTTATCTCATCGCGCAAATCACGAGTCCCTTCTCTGTGAGGCTAGGGATCCTCAACATAACATTTAACAAACAATACTTTCATAAGGCAAAGTTCGCTAAAGGTTATGGGTGTGGACTGTTGCAAGTACTACCAAACAAACATTCGATAAAGCAAGAAAAATATGTTATCCTTTTAAAGTCATAAGTTAGGGGTTATAACGCTTCCGATAACGTTATGATGCCCTTTCAAAGTGAGTTTTAAGGGGGACATCACTCTTTAAATAGTGCTTTAGAAAACCATCATAAAAACAAAACTGAAAGACATAAAGTGGTAAAATTTAATCCCTTAATTAAAAGCAACAAAAAATCCCCGAGGTCATTCCAGCGCTACGTAAAACACATTCTTGAATGTCCTGCAGAACCTTTCTGCACTGTTCCAGCGCAGAAATTTTTTTGCTACCCACCATAGCGCCATGATAAAGGAGCAATCATGCGAAACCTCACCACCGTAGCTCAACCTGGAGGCTTGGAGCAGTGTGCAATTTCATGTTCCGAGAAAAACGCTATCAAAGTTGGGGAAACTGGGTATTTTCCTATGCATGTTTGCGGCCCATAATCTCCTAGAATCTCCTGACGCTTTAGGTTTTTGGATTTTGGAATACTGTTTTCGGCATTCGACGCAGAAAGGAACGATCTATATTATAAACCAACAAAAAAAAGTTGCTTTTTTGACCATTTTGGAGTGTTGTCCCCACTTAAGGATCTATGAAGGAGACCAAATGTGGAGAACTCCCCACTTGGAATGTGGAAGTGCGAAATTTTCAGTTTTTTTACATGGAATACCGAGTTTGGAGTCTCCCAACTTCGAGTGAATTTCGCCAAAAGTTTGCACAGTACAAAGAGAGCTTCTCCAGGCCTCAAGTGTGGCGTTTCCGTTTGGCAACAAATTGTAACATTTCTGGAGACTGGTCTAGAAGCTTTCAGTTTATGGAGTGGTTGACGGTTTCGGCCGTACCGCGAAAGAGTTATATTGCTTTGCAGCTCCAGCGATGAGTGACCCAGCAAGCAAGATGAAAAACACATTAAATGGTTTGGAGAAAAGCATTTCCTCATCGTTGTCCGTTTCTCCGCGCAGAAAGTTCTGCTCCGTCAAGATGACTGCACCTTAAAACAAACGATATCAGTTTGAAGTATCATTTGAGTTCTACAAGCCAACCCGAAATAAATCTAATAAATCCGTCCTGTCGTTCATTAACATCATACTAGTCTTACAGTATTATCTGTTCATTTTTATCCCGGCCAATTTCGTTCTTTCTTTTACAGTCCGTGCGTGCAGGTCGATCATTTTAAATATGAAAGCTCAAGCCGCATCACTATTAAGTATCCAAGTCCATGAAATGTAAACAATTCATCTCCTTCCGTAACGAAACTAGTTAATCATTACAATAATTACAACGAATTTTCGATCGCTTCAGATCACTGCTTAAAATGCACCTTGTCCGTTTGGACAGAACAGTCGAAATGCTTTGGACACAACAGTCGAAATGCACGTCGGACAGGGGCAGAGAGAGCACTGCAAAGCAACATCACAGAGGAGATTGAACACTACACAGAGGAGATTGAACACTACGAAAGCCTCACATAAAAGCGGAGGTTTCCATCAATACAAACTACATATACGGCAAGCTGTCCATCGGCGTCCGATTGTTACTGGGTGCCCGGTCTGTTGTCGATCGTCAGATAAAAGATCACGAACAAAAGAGAGAAATCGTCGCGTTTTAGAGGGCTGACATGGGCCGGCACGCGATTTGTGTGATATACACTATAAACGAGTTACAAAATGGTTGGCAAAGTAAATTCGTTTCACAGTATGACAAGAAATATCGACTTATATTCCTTGGTATCCTAAATACTATTATCACTCTATCACAAAGAATAAGTCAAGTGAATGTAAATGTGACCAAGTTATTATATGAAAATGGTCCTCCTGCTTGTGAACCATGTCATGAACAGGTTTGATGATAAACTTTTAAGGAAACTAAGAATTGACATTGTCATCAAACGAGGGCAAACTTAGCCCTAAGTAAATGTTAGCATTGTTGAAAAACATGGCAAATTTAAAACTAAGAGTTAAAGAAGCCAAAGGTTATTTCATTTTGAATGAGACACACCAATGGCTGGGCTGCTGCCACTGCGCACCACGACGAAAATAGATCGCAGCCGAAAGCGCTCCGCGGCTCATGAATCGGGGGAGCGGGGTGGCCTCGCAGAGCCCGTGCAGACCTTCCAACACGGCACTGTAAAACTCAATATCCAGGATTTACAAAGGAAACACTGAGAAAACAAATGCGGAGGATTCCGCACAATCTGGTGCGGTGTAATTTTCTATCAATTTGACCGCACTAACTGATGCGGAGAAGATTGACTTCATTTACTCATGCGGAGTGTGCCAAATTGATGCGGTCTCAGTTTTTACCGCATTAGTTTAGGTGGATTTCAAGATCCCACGATATCTCTACAGCAGTGGCAACTTCCCTTCCCAGTCCATCCTCAAAGCGGTTACGTTTACTTGGCCATCTCATTTACTTCTTAAACAATATTATTTGGGAAACCAGTACATACCTGTCATTCTGTCATGTAGATGTTTGTAACGCTGAGATGAGCAGAAGTTAACATCGATCAGCCTCATTAAAAAGCAGTAGTTTTTTTTTTAATAAAAACCAATGATTGAAACTGCATATTGTTAGCGATGAATTGTCACACAATTTGAAAACACAATTCAAAATTATTTTTATCTTTCAAGCCCTCGGCAATCTTCTTGAAAGTAAGTCATGTGTAGGATATTGAAGCATCATTGTGGCCTTTCCTTGACACCGGACCAACACGGTAAAAACGGTACCTGGTTTTTCCAGGAAGCCAATAGCCAATGGTAGAGACATAGGCGATTTCCGGGGAGTTCCTGGGAAAACCAGGAACCGTTTTTACCGTGAAGTCATCAAACCGTATTTCTTGGCCGCTAACAGTGGATTTTCCTAGTTGTAGCCATGCATAGCAAAATGGGTAGGTCTGGGGTCGTATTGCGTCTCATACAAAAGTATGCCAAACCGGTGCCAAACCCACTTTGATTGTCAATAGCAAACTCCCGAATGAAATTTACAGCCATTATTAGTTTTAAAGCTACATTGGCTGTTACAGGGTTAAAAACAAGAGGGCAGAGAACAGAAACAAAACACTACCAATGCCAGTCATAATAAAGAATTAGGCAAACTCGTTTCAGGCAACTGTACCATATCGCCAAAACAAGAAGAAATTTCAGGGGCCCCGAAATCATCAGGCTGATTGATAAAAGATGACATGGGCTTTTACTCCCAGAAGCACTGTAGTATCTCATCGCGCAAACCACTTTTCTGTAACTATAAAACAGCTCCACACTTGAAATGCGGAGATGTGAGCCGCAATTTTCGCACTTGGAAGTGCCGAGTATGCGGTTCCACACTTCGAGAGGGATGTTCCCCACGTTTGCACCAAGCCAAGGGGCAGGACTCCCTAAGCTTTTGTAAACCTGAAGTGTGGAGATTCCGTTTGTTCAGAAACGGGCAGGAGCGTCGAATTCCGTACCGCGAAAGAGTTTATTTGCTTTGCAGCTCCAGCGATGTCCGACCCAACAAGTAAGATAGAAAACACATTCAAAGGTATGGGAGAAAAGCCTTCCATCGTGGTTTTTCGTCCACTTACGCCGCCTACTGCTCGACGTCTGTCACGACGAGTGCGTCAGAACGATATCAGTTGATGTATCATGCGAATTCTACACGCGAGCCCGCAATAAATCCAATCAATCCGTGTCCTGTTGTTTATTACCGTACTCTTCCACCGACGTGCGATGGCTTCGAATCCTAACCGAGTCGAATCAAATTCGGAACGATTCTGAGTCAACAGGTTTGTGATTCATGTGTGATTTTGTGTGGAGGTTCTTTTGGAAGTACTTGCAGAAATCCGTACCCTTAACCTTTGACGAACATTGTCTTATGCTACGTTATGAAAGCAGTGTTAGTTAAATGTTAAGTTAAGGATCCCTGGATGTTACATTCAGAGTACGGCAAATATCGTGACGAAAATCACATGCCAACGAATACGTTGTGACATTCGTTTAGGAACATCGACGTAACAATGTTCACAGCCTTGCGAGTCGATTCAATCAACCATAGCAGCCACTTCTCTCCGCCGCGGCACGCCATCGCGTCTCACTCCCACTCAAAGGGCTTCACGTGAGGGTGCGAGAGCGAGAAAGAGAAAGCGAGAGAGAGAGAGCGAGAGAGAGAGAGAGAGAGAGAGAGAGAGAGAGAGAGAGAGAGAGAGAGAGAGAGAGGGGGGCCGCCAGTCGGCACGCGGGCGTCTCCGGCCAAGCAGGCCAAGCAGGCCAAGCAGGCCAGGCAGACCGGATTCTGATTGTGTACACCCTTGGAGGAACAGGGGAGGAGAAGTAGGTCCAAAATGCAGACCTAATTGGTGCAGGTTCGCTAGGCTACGGCTGATTTCAAAAGGGTCACGGGCAATTTTTTTTGAATACAGAAATACTTGAACTAGTGGAAGATCAACTTAAATTTTGAGAGAAAAAATCCTAAATATAAAATATTTGCCGTAAACTGCCGTTCGGAGCCGTGGGCCGATGTCTGTCGCTTCCAGAGCTTCCACCATTCGCCGTTGGCCAAGGAGGGCGCTCTTGGCGGCTACCTTACTGACAGTTTTCATTTATTTTGCGTTGTATTTGAAAAGATTCTACTTATTTGTGTAATCTTACACCACTTAAGGCTCTGAAGAACCCACGGCAATACTCTGTTTGGGTCTCACGCGTTTAGTTTTCACATAGTTGCATGCACCAAAATGTGGTTCCGCGCCTGCAGACTCGAGCCCGCAGACGACCGGCTCGGCGCGACCCTAGCGCCAAGTGTCCTCTCCTGGCGGCGATCGGCGGAAGCTCTGGAAGCGACAGACCTCGGCCCACGGGCAGCGGCAGCGTGCACTCCTCCCCTTTTCCTCTCAAGGTACACCAGGCGTGCTTCGCGATAGCGAGCACAACCAGCGGGTGGAAACTCTATTGCCGAAAAAGACATGCAAAGGTTTTTTGTGCACCTTAGATCTCGGAACCCAGAGGTGGTAGGTAAAATCCGAGGTCATATTTGGAATCCTCATAAAATTTCACTCGGCGTAGGGTATGTTTGGAGCGGGAGGTCAAGGAAATGGTCGGTCATTTTGCAATGAGAAAAAGAAAAAAAGGAGAAAAAACGCTGTGGGACCATGATCGAAACGTTGCATTGTTTTGTGGTAACACTTAATGCAAGAGAACGGGACCTTGTAGGTTAATTCTGAGGTCATATTCTGAATCCTGAGGAAATTTCCTGTGCATTACGCTGCCTGGGAGTCGTCAACACACCAAAATAACAGAGAACCGTTGCCGTGAAACTGAGAGAGGGTATGCAGCGATTGTATTGCATAAAATGACAAAACAGTCTGCCGTTGACTGCGTGTTCTAAAGGGTACAGACCCTCCTTCTTTGAAACCTATAGGTGGAATGCACACACGAAAGCACGCTGAATTCATATCTGTACTCAGAATTTGAATCGGCCTTACCGTTGTCTCACATTAAGCATGACCAAATAGCAATTTTCGGGATAAAGCGTAAATTTCTATCCTGGTCCCAGAGCGTTTTTCACCTGTTTTTTTGGCCCGCCCTTCTATTCAAAAAATAGGGGGAGGGCCTATGCATTTGCCTTTGTGTCTGTGTGTTGTTGTTGTTGTTGTTGTTGTTGTTGTTGTTGGCGTCTGTGTACAAGGAAGGAGTTGAGCTAGAGTAACCAGATTTGGAGGGTACTTCAGGAGTACCGTCCAAACAAAATAATCCGGTGGTGCAAATCCCGGCCGGGTCGCACAAGGGCTGCTGCAGGTGCATCATGGTTTACATGAGCGGGAGGGGGATTTCCGCCATTATTGGTGCTAGTAGGGCATATAGGGGTATTTTTGGAATCGGGGCGACGAGACAGGATGAATGGACCTGGTCCCGACCCCATCGGCCGCTTTTACAAGTTGGCCAGATCAGGATCTTCAAAAAAGGGGGTCGACCGACTAAAAAAATTTATTGCAGATTTCGATTGGTCTCAGCAAGACCTTTTCAACGAGGGGTCGGAAAGGGGGTCCAGGAGCCCGACTTCGTCTATTAGTCACATCAGGATCTTGAAAAAAGGGGGTCGACCGACTGAAAATTTTTACTTAAGTTTTGGATAGGTCTTGGCAAGACCTTTTCAACGAGGGGTCGGAAGGGGGGTCCAGGAGCCCGCCTTCATGAGTTATGGAAAAAAGTGCGACGGACTTGTTTTGCGCTCCTGCTGTGCCTCTATTGCAAGGAGTTGCAGTAGCATGGCAAATATGGGTATTTTCGGAGTGAGGGCGAAGAGACAAATGAAACGGGCATATTCTAAGGACAGTTGGAGTAAAAAGTGTAAGGACTATTGCATATTGTGAATAGAAGGGCGGGCCTAAGTCACGATGGTACATCGATAACTTTGCTTTACCCGCTCACGG